TTAATGCGTGGAAGATTATGGCTGAGCAGGTTGCCTGTGGCGGTGAGGAGAGTATTGAACAGGCGGACGTCAGGCAGTCTAAGGGGATACGTACATCATCCCAACCCTCACCCTATCTTCAAGCAAACAAAGCGCCACCCTTGTGACAGCGAAACTCCGGAGGCCGAAACGTGTCGGAACAGCGGAGAGAAGCTCCGCCATGGTATACTCTGCGACCTCTTTATTAGTCTCAGCTGGAATCATATTCTTCACCTCGTAGTCCTGCAGAGGAGAATGAGATACACAATAGGATATCAAGGCTAAAAGACGACACACCCGACTCCATTCTATCATTTCTTCGCGAGACTCGGGGATATCTCGCATATTCATCCGTCTCCCTATTTCAGCCCAGAAGACGTAAAACGCCTCACACTCCATTGGGGAGAGCTTCCGCCATCCATAACGCTCTGCCCATCGCTAGATAAGCAGACAGATGATGAATCAGATGCGGCCATTACGCCACCCTTGCCAAACAATCTCTCACCGGAGGTTCTAAAGCGAACAAGCACAACGTATTCAAAAAACCGTCGTTTGACTACAAACAAGACAACCCACAATTCTGTACCGGGAGTGTATCCAGTTGACTCTCGCAAGAGCAATCATAGCCCTCGGGTCGTCTGCGGACGGTCCATTCTCTGACGACTTGAAATTGGGGTCCAGAAAGCCAGAAATCGGGCAGGCCACCCAGGTAGCTATATATGAAAGATGAGGGAGTAACCTGAAGAGTGACGTACTAGTTAACATGAACCAATCAGAATCTCAGTCTGCAAGTCCCAAAAGTAGCTATTCAGCAACTTGAGACACGGAAAAGCAGATAGAAAGACACACATCCGCATAACGTTTCGAAACCGTCTCTGCCGACTTGAATTCACCAGTCACGGACAACAACTTTGATATCGATGGCTGACAGTGACGCCATCGTCAGCGCCCGCAAATGGAGTGAAAAAGTCGTCCTCACAATCGCATAGGTTTTGAACAAGGCGAATGCCAGCGAATAGTTCAGCAGCAATGGCATGTCATAGCTAGTCGATACCAGAATAACGCGTTGGGCCTCTTCCGGGCTGAGCGTTCCATCTTGATATTTCTTCATGTATTCCCGGTGGATGGCGTTGTATCTTCGCCAGCGCAAGAGACGGGTCAGGGCGAGATACCCGAGAACACCGATGATTGTGCCCTCGATGACGGTGGGGTAGCGTGCATGGTGTCTAAGATTTTTCAAAAAGTGAAGGAGGTCGATTATAAACCCAGGGGGAGTGAGGTTGTGGAACTCAACCATGTCAAGGACTCAAGGACTTGAGGGTGCAATTGAACGAGCGATATGTCAATTTGATCTCAACGATATTTTCGGCTCGAGGCTCGAGGCTCGGGACTTATCCACTTTCGGTCTAACAAAGTCTTACCCGATCAGGGCCGTAGAAGTTGAATGAAAGGATCTTGGCAAGTCTTGCAGCTGTCTTACAAACCGTTTGAACCGTTTTTGCAGGTCGAGTCATCGGTCAACAGAAAACACACTGGTATTGTAGAAGTAAGCGAAAGTACACGCCAGTTTGTGAAACAGCTTTACACCTCGGTACTTTAATTTAAGAAAAAACACAAGCGCTCATCGAATACTGGTGGTGGAATAAATGAGAGACCGGCAGACGAGGCGGACCTTCCTAATCGAAGTCTTAACTGAGATGCTTCGAGGGAAGGGCGACGTCACACTTGTGTGGGTTTCCAGGCAGGTGTAGAATGCAGGAAGGAAGGCAATGCCCGATGTCAGATGATAGACTGCCCGCGTATGGGAGCTGACAACTCTAGCGAACAAAAAGCTTTTTCGCTCTCAAAGGTCGAGCAGCCCCAACTCGACCAGTTTCTTGTTGATAGGCCCTATAAGCTTCACGAAGGTGATCCGGCGATAGGGGCCCAGTCTCGCCACGACGCATTTGAATCTCTCGCGCTGTATACAAAGAATTGAGTAGTTGAAAAATAGACGCAAGTGACAAGGAAACCCGCGGTAAGCCCTGGGGCCTTTCCGCTGATGGATAAACAACGATCAGAAGAATACTTACCTTGCTCAACGATCTCACCCACAAAAACCTTGGAAAAACCAGCTATGATTTGGGCGACAGGCTGGGAGGCTTGATACCCCAAAGTTTGCTGGATAACCTAAAAAAGAGATTAGATCATAAGGATCATCCAGATTGAATCCTACCTTTCGGACGGCTTGCTTTGGCAAGGCATGCCTCCTATACGACTCGAAACGATCGTACTGACTAGGACTGAAGTTGTCTATCAGAACTCTACAGCCAGTCGTTAACTAAGTATATCGATACGAGTCTAAAGAAAGGACGCACTTTAAGTTGCCTTTAGACTGACTCTGTCATGATAGCTGAGCGGAATAGTCGTCGTCTGTTATTGTAGGTAGTAGCTCGTCGTCTCCTTCCTCGTCTTCCTCAGCAGGGGCTTGACCAGGACATGTACTAGCAAGTGCTGGTACTCCGGACAAAATAGAAGCACCGTGGAAGCTGATGAGTTTGGATATATGCAACAATGGAGCGCCTGTTGGCTGTGAGCTGGTTCCGATGGCTGCTGCCGACGATGCGCCATCGCGGAGCTGCTGACCACCGCTTCCCGCCGCACCTCCAACCGCCGAAGGCTGTCCAGGGCTAGCTAGAACGCCACCTTAAGGTATAGTGCCACCAGCTACCTCTGCCTCTGTCAAGAATTTCACTTGAGTTCCCCTGATGACAAGGCCAGCCGCAGTAGCCGCTTCCCGCATCCGGTGTTGGTGCCTGCCTTCCCACCCATTAGGCGTCGTTAACACCACGTCCATGTTGCGGTATAATGAATTCCAAAGCGATTCCCCGTTCCCATGTGAGCTGGTGACATGCACTTGCAGCTGGCCTTTTACATACTCGAGGAAATCAGCAAAAATATCATTAACTGTTCCAGAAGGCGGTAACTCGGGGATCTCAATCTCAATTCCGTTAATCTTTGGGAGGTAGTCAGGCCGGAGGTAGAGTTTCCACCTATTCTTACATTCAGTATTGTTAGAATACATTGGACTGGATACGCGTACCATTCAGCTTTTATCCAGCCCTCTTCATCCGCTTCAGCCTTCGTATCCTGTGCAACAATTCAGTTTAGAAGCGTAGGATCATCGTTAAGAATTTCTAACGCACGGGACTGTCGGTCTCGGCACCGAGACAACGTGGTTTCCCTGAACTATCGTAGTAGACCAATGATGGGACTTTGGCGTCTGGATTGGCCTTCGAGGTGTGATTATTCAGTAGACCAGGAAGTAAAATCGGCTATCGCCTCACCTGCTTGGGCCAGCGTAGAATCTAAAAATAATGAATAAGAAAGACGTTGGTCATAATGGTGGACTGGACAAGCACCTCTTCGAACACTGGAGGTGTTCCCGGTTGAAGGATACAGACTGAAGCTGCTGAAAATGTAGTGCCGATGTCTATTGAGACGACTAACTGCGTTCTAGGTCCTTGGTAAGGTCGTCGATTGGAGCGCATAGATTTGAGAGGTGAGTACGAGGTTGTAAAGTGTGGGATAATTACAGTGCCTTGCATAATGCTTTGCAGCGTGAATTTTTTGAAATTGTATTTGACTGTGTTTAAACTGGTCCTGAGATGTCACATTCAGGCTTATTCCGGACAGAGATCATTTCGTTGGGCCTTAGTTGTGACATATCAGGTTCACTACAAATATAATCAAATACGATTTGAAAAAATTCATGCTGCAAAGCATTATGCAAGACACTGTATGGCAACACCGTGTTTTCACAGCTGCCGTGATGTCGAAGCTGTCCATTCGCACGTCAGCCCTGCAAATTAGTTTTCACGAGAATCCACACCATTAAATTGTTTATTCTTCATGGGCGACATGTCAAACCCTATATACAAGTTTTACTGCTGATACTGGGTTCATCCATTCCTTAGCTCCCTCAGATGTCGCTTCCACAGGCCGATCAACAACTTTGTACGCGCCGATGAGCATAAACGCGTCCGATACGATCTCTGCCAAACCGCCGGGCATCAAGCGAACGGGATTTGGCGAGATTGGGAAAAGACTGCGATCCTTTGCAGAACCAGCAGATAAAAACTTGTAAAACGCCACACTGAAGGCTCGCCAGGATGGTGATGCTGGTAAGGTTGCGTCTGTTTCTAATAAATGAGAAATGCGAACCCAAAAACTCGAAATTCAATACGAACCGTTGTAAATGAGCTCATGTCCAAGTCCCTGCCACACAGCGCCATAAAGCGGCGTTACTCCCTCGCTAATGCCCCCCTTGTCCCAATCTTTACTCCGAATGACGGCGATCTTCCCACCACTCTCAACAAAAGTTTGAGAAATCAACGCGGTACTCTCGTTCTCTGAGATACAATCTACAGCGTAAGAGATACCGCCGGAGACTTTTCGCACGTCTTCGACCCATGTAGGTGAGCGGTAATCGAAGACGGCCTCGGCTCCCAGTGCGAGGAGTTTAGCGTGGTGCTTAGGGCTGGCGGTAGCGAAGATGCGATATGGCTTTCCCGATGGGGTCCGGAGAAGGCTGGCGAGCTCAATGGTGTATAGACCAAGAGACGTTGCCGCTGAATAGACGAGGACGCTTGGTGCATCCGTCGCTGGAGGCGCGAAGGTGTATGGGTTAGGAAAGGGTGCTGGAATTTCGAGGCGGATAAACAAGGCCTTTGAGGTTCATTGTTAGCTATGTGAAACCGGCCCATAACATCGTGCATACCTGAGCAGCAGTAAGAGCACAAAGAGGAACTGTTGCAGCCTCATCAAAAGTGATCCCAGCAGGCACATGAATAGCCAGATCCTGCTCTAAGATGGCGTATTCTGCGAATCCTCCGGGACGGGGGGTCACAGAAGTTGCTGGCGAAAAACGTCAGCTTGAAGGGGAACTGTCCATTTGATTTAGCGTACCTCCTTGCAGGAGACCTGCAACGCGATCTCCTACCTGCCACCCCGTCACGCCCGCACCGACCTTATTAACGACTCCTGAGATGTCACTCCCAACAACACGTCCTAGTTCACCAAGGGGGTACTGCATATACCGAGCGTCCACCAAATTCAAGGCGACAGAGTGCACCTTGACTCTGATATTGGAGTTCAGGGCATCATTGAAATCTTGGATCATATAACTCACCGAATCTCATTATGTCCGGGCTCGGGAACAGCGATATCTGCGACAACGTCAGTCTTGTTTGGTGCGGTGACGAGAGCTTGCATCATTTTTCAGAATGTTCAGGATTTGCCATCGAGTCTTGCCCTTATAGACAAACACATGACGGGCTTAGAAAGACTCAGACCGGGGGAATGAGTAAAGGCGTAAAAAGTGGTAAGGTTCAAGTAAGCTGAAGGTGGAAACAAATTCTGTCAGCTTCCGGTCCGAGCATTTGCCGATTCCGAGGATCAATAGTACAGTTTATTTGCTGGCTTTACAACGATGTACAACGATGGAAAAACGGATGGGAACTCAAAGCGAAAAGAATGGGGAAAAAATGAAAGTAAAAGAAAACTTGGGAATACGAGACAAATAAGTTAAGTACAAATACAGCGCTCAAAGCGGGGGAGTTCAAGGGAACTCAACTCACTGTAGAGCAGGGACGATGGGGGAGCAGATCATCGCTCTGGATCCATTTCATCCAATAGCGTGAGCATCTCACGCATGCTAGGGCGGAGGTAATCAATGGAGTCCCAACAGCGATCCAGAGTATAGTATCCCAAAAGACATCCACGTTCTTGACTTGGACCAGGCAACATGCTCCCCTGGTAGGTTTGACTCCTCGAATGATATCCACAGTTACAGCATGGTCGTTTGTTCTGTGAGGATAGGGAAGCTGTCCAGTTGCTACCTGCATGCACACATGAGTCACATATGCAATCGGTTAAGGTAGAAGGCCAGACATACCTTAAGGCACACCGAAGCAAATGCGTACACATCACTAAACGTTGTAATGGGAGGAATTTGCCCATCGTCTTCCACCAGTGCCATAATAAGCTCTGGCGCCATCCACCTGGTTGACCCGGCAAAGAAAGATGTTCCCTTGCTGATGGTCTCGGACATTTCCTCGATGACCTTGGAGAGCCCAAAGTCGGTGATGATCGCATATCCACGCTCATCGACCAGAATGTTTCCCTGAGTTGGGGGTCAGCGGGGAGCGGGAAAGGACGAACAAAGGGGCCTGACTCCGTTCAAGTCCCCATGGACAATGGTAGGCCTGAATGTATGGAGATAGGCAATGGCAGAAGCCACCTGGGCGAGCTACAACAATAGTTAGGTGACGAAATTCGGTGGATAACATGGAATGCGTACAAGTCTTAATCGATTCACGCTCGGGAAATGCTCCAGATAGTTGCAAAGCGTCCCATGTTCGCACCAAGGCGAGACCATGCCAATGCTCTGTGAGAGATGTACTATCCCAAAAAGCTGGGACACGTTGCGATGACATAGACGGTGCCAAGCAATAACCTCCGATTGAAGTCGCTAACGAACCATCATGTCAGCTCCAAACATTCCAGCAAGAGAAGTATTACATACCTTGATGAGCTTCTCTCGAACATTTTGTACCATGACTTGACGCAGGACCTTGATGGCAACCTGAACGATGTCGTGAGCTGACCTTGCACCATAACACCACAAAGATACTTACCGGCCGTGGGCGACTCTCAATCGGATCGTTCCAAGTACCTTTCCATACGTCAGAGAACGTTCCATGAGCGACAGCCGCATCTCCCTTCACAACTTCATCGGTAAGATCAGTCAAGATCACAGACCCTTTCACGACCAAAGTCTTGGTGACCGTCTCCTGCAAAAACTTTTGTCGACATCGTTACTTCAATCGGCTATAGTCCTGATGCTCTTGGATCCACCTGAACTCGTCGTACGATGATATGGAAAGTGCAACGGTCCGGAGGGAAGAGAAGTAGAGGAAGTGTGGGTAAGTTTGGAGGATCATGGCATTTCGGAGATGGACGTCTGACGCAGATTCCAAGCCAACGTCTATCCAGATCGTTGATCGGCCAGTCTGGCGATGGGTGGAGGTTGATGAACACTGTTCGTTTGCCGTGCCGAGAATGTAAAGAGCAAGAGTCGGGAAGACGGGGAAAAAGAGATCACAGCATTCCCTGATGAATACAACGACAACGTCAAATCTTCATCTGCACTTTGAGAGAAAGATGGTTAACTCACGGATCCTCGTCGAACCCCTCATCCAAACTACCGAAACAGCAATCTGCAAGAATGAACTCCTGGTCCTCGCAAGCAATGCCAACGCAGACCTCTGCTTCGCATAAGCGCCAGCAATACAGGTTCATTACGTCTTGAAAAGTATCCACAGACCACCCTATAGGCAACCGTTGGTCTGAACGCGACCGTATCACCCCATCTGCCCAAGAATGCTCCAAAAAGTCGATGAATCCACGCAAAATGAATCGCTTGCGGAGCTGGGCGATGAGGGGTCTATAAGCATTGAAGATTTGTCCGTCTTTGGGTTCCTCGTAGCCCGACTTCTCAAGGGTGACAACCATCTGGCGGTATGCTGCGCTGTTGCGGAAACGAAGAAAGACAAAGTATTTGCGCAAGGTCTCGACATCCCGTCGATTAAATGGTATGGATCTCTTGGTGTCTTCCTCGTTCCACACAGTTCGGTCCAGAAGATCGGTCACCACCGACTGAGCATCAGACTCAAGCTTCGTAAAGCTTTCCTCGGCTTCTTTGAAGATTTTCTGAATCTCGACATCAAGAAAGCCGGACCGTCCTTCGCAAGGAGCCCCTCCTGCTTTTCAACTTGACCCTCCTTCCTAAGCTGATCCTCCTCAAGCTGGCCCTCGCTCTCAGCCTGACCTCCCTTCCCACTCTGTCCCTCATTCTGGCTCTCATTCACAGCCTCCTTTATTTTCTGGACAAGCACGATCCCCGTATCCGCACCCAAACTCTTCTTTCCCCCAACACCAACAACACTCCCGGCATTCGACCTAAACCCCACATCGCCCCCATCCCCCACACCGATGAACATAGCCAGTCTAGGCGGGGTAGGCGGGACGTTGGCGCGCGTTATGAGGCCGAAGGTGGTTCGGTGGGTGTTGCTTGCCCAGGCGAACTTTGACGGTGCTGCTTGGTGGTTGTAATTCTGATTCTGGAGTGGAGTAGAAGTGGGGTCGAGGGAGAGGGAAAGGGAGGTGGTGTCAACGAACAGAGGAAGGGAATACGGTAAAGGTGAAGCAAGAGGGGTGGTGAGGGAGAGTGAAGCCACACGCTCCAAAATGGGCGGAGCGTCCGGGTGTTCTCCGACTATTGACGCTGCTAGTTCCGCGAGTGCTGTGATGTGGGGTATGTCGGACGTTGGGCGAAGCTCTGAGTCTTCTGTCGTTGTTGTGTTTTCGTCAGACTCGGAAACGACTTGTCCGTCTTTTTCTGCCTGAAGCTGAAGCTGAAGAATGAGTTTTTCTCCAGTCTTCGATGAAGAAGAAAGAGAAGAGGAAGACGGAAGACCCGATGCGAGGTTGAGGTGTGGTAGGGCTTGTTGTAAAGGGAGGGTCATCGACCTACGATGGGTCGAAGGCGCACGTGTGACTGGAACGGGTAAAGCGCTAGCATCTTTCTCAGTCTCGGAATCAGCTTGCTTCCCGTCGTCGTCTTCACAAGCGGAAGTTTCATAAGTACCTCCTCCCTCCAGATCCTCCTCCGAAATCACCGCCAGCGCCAAAGGAGGAGGAGGACCGATAACCACATCCTCCACAGACACACCGCTATGCACAGACCCAACGACCGAAATAGGCCGGTGCGGTAACGGTTTATTCCTATCCGTCGGGACCGCACTAGTGACGAATTTACTCAGATAATCAAGCGCAGTGAGTCTTCTCCATTCCTTGTTGCCTTTCGCGTTCGTGTTCCCGCGTTCTAGAGTTGAAGCCAAGGAGGCCTTTGAATCGCGCGATACGCGAGGGAGTAGCGAGTCCATTTTCTCCGTGTATGTACTGTTGGTGTAGGAAGATAAGGAGAGGGAGAGACGCCCGACTTTGGCTAGTGCTTCGAGGATGTCGATGGCTGTTATCCTGCGGACTTCTTTGTGCGTGGGTGTTGTTGGGTGTTCTTTTGAGGGGTGGGGTTGGTAGGGGAGTGTTGGAGTTGAGGAGAGGTCGAGGGAGGGGAGTTTGATGATGGATGTGTCTTCGAGCTGGGAGGGGAGTGTCAGTTAGTTGGTTGGGGGATGGGATGAAAGAGACGTACATCGAGCTCCAGATCAGAGTCTGTGGTCGTGTTTGCTGGGTCTTCCGGCTGTTGCTGCTGGTCCTGGTGTTGAGAAGAGCTCGAGCCGGTCTTGTTGAAATATCCAGCCGTCAGCCTCCATTTAGCTTTCGCCTTCGCTTTCGAGTGTGAGTCCGGTGCGATGCCCCCTTCCTATATAACGTTAACGACACGACAAAACGAAGAGAGGAAAAGGAAAAGAGACACACCTCGTCCGCCGCCTTCTCCAAGACGCCCATGTTCTGTAACATACGCACAGCATAGCGTTTGGCGTTCCCGTAGTACTTTACCGTCAGCCGCTCGAATTCGTCCAGCTTATCGTCGATGTCGTCCCATCGCCGTGGGATGGCTGATTTCAGGCGGTGCGTTAGGTGCTGGGTCTAGGTACCATGTAGCGGTTAACATTCCGTAGAAAAACAAATAAAAAGCAAGCGGAACGTACGTTATGATTACCAACACCAGCATCAGCAGAGGTAGACGACGTGGACACCTCCCCCTCAGAAGCAGCCACAGCAGCTGCAGATTTAAGATCAGCCTTATCAAGACGTCGAGCAGCTTTGACGAGTTTGAAGAGGGACCGAAAGATCAAAGCCATAGCTGCGAATATGACGAGTGCAATAAGGATGTAGCCGACTATAGTTTGGTCCGATGCGTGTGGGTACGCGGACGCGCTACTAGCCGCCGAGGAAGAGTCGACGCCAGACATAGAAAAGCGAGTGTAATTATAAAAGAGTGTGGTGTCAGTGGGACCGACTCAAGCCGACTCAAGGTAGAAGAAAAAGGAACGATAGAGACACGAAACTGCGTTCGAAGCAGGTTTTTATCATTTTGGAGAGATGCCAGCCACCAGGATTTCATTTCAGACTTGGAGGTAAAGATGAGCGCGTTGTTTGTTCATGTTACAACACTACCACCACAACCATGAACTGGGAGTCTGGGACGAAGAATACGAACAACGGCCTCCTACACCACGACGCACCGACTCCCCCGACGATATCAACCCATTTCTGCTTGAAAGAACGCCCGAAACTCCCCTTGAGCAGCTAACAAGACACTGGCTTAATGAACGACACGCCCCGGACATCTTACCCGCGCAGGAAGAGCTGCTCAGCGGGATGCTCGACCATCTCAGGCGCCAGGTGCGTGAAGGCCCACACGCGCCTTTATATCTTGTGAGATGAACGACGGATAGTCAGAAGCCGTCCACCTCCTCCGTGGTGACCCTTCTTCGTCCGATGAAGAACATATAAGGATTATGCTCGTACAGACGGAAATTGAACGTGTCAAGTTTATCGTGAGATCGTATGTCCGTACGAGGTTGTTCAAGGTGCGTTTGTCTTTTGTTGTCCATCGCGATCGTTGTTGATACTTTACTGGAAGATAGAGAAATACGCTCGGTTCGTCACATCTAACGCTGATGTCCAAAGACGCTTGACGGCGGCTGAGAGGGACCATGCGAGTCGGTACGCCGTTATATTCTTCCCATGTTCTCGAATACTAATCAACACCTCTTTAGACACGCGAAAATAACAGACCAGCACTTTTACCTATCTGTCCTACAAAGCCTGCCAGACGCCCAAGCACACCTAGACGATACACCCGTATTTTACCCGTCCATGGGTTCGTACTTTCCTTTCCTTCGTTTCTTCCATTTTTCTTTCTATCTCGTTTCCCGCCACTTGCTATGTCTCCTTCATTCCTTTCTCCGTTCACTTCCCGTCATTTCCTAACTTCCTTACCCTTTCAATTTCTTTCCTTCTTCTTTTCCTTCCCCTCCTTTTCCTTCCCTCTCTTCCGTACCCCCTGCCTTCCTTCTCCGTTCTGACCTCCCCTACCTCTTCGTTCTTCTCTTCCCTCTTCTTCCTCCCTCCCAAACCTCTCCTCCCTCCCTTTGCATCTTTTCCCCCTTTTCCCCCTTTCTTTCTTCTCCTTCCTCGTTTCTCTTTCCCCTCTTCCTTTTTCCTTCGCCCCCTCCCACTTTCCTTCCATCATTCTCCCCCTCCCTTTCTTTTTGTCTTTTTCTGACGTCCTCTGTTGCTTTTCGTACTCGCTTGCTCTCTCCCTTCCTTGCCCTTTTCCTCTCTTCCCCTTCCCCTCCCTCCATCCGCCATTCATTTCTCCCGTCTTTCTTCTCCCTCTCTTTCTCCATTTCCTTTCTCACTTTCTTCTTTCCCTTCCTGCTTCCTTCATCCTTTCCTTCCTTCGTTGCTTCTTCTCTTTTTTTCTTTCCTTCCTTCCCATTCCCTTATTCCTGTCCTTTCTTTCCCCTACTTCACTCTCTTCATTTCCCCCGCTCCACTCTCTTCATTTACACACACACTCGCTCGCTCGTTACCTCCGCCCCTCCTCCCTATCTTCGCTTCTCCCCTGCTATTTTTCTCTCTTCCCCACTCCCTCCTTTCCTCCCTCCCTCCCTCCATCTTTTTCTTCCCTTCCTTTGCCCCTATCTTCCTTCTTTCTCCTTCCTTCCCCTCTTCCCTCCTCCCTTCCCTTCTCCAGACGTCCCTTCCTCTTTCCTACTCCTATTCTTCCTTTCTTCCTTCCCCGTCTTCCCCCCCACCCCCTCCCTTCCCTCTTACTTTCCCTTGTTCTTACCCCCTTTACCTCTTCTTCCTTCATCTTCGCTTCTGAAACGTCCCTTCCTTCTTTCTGCCCACTTCACCAAACGAAAACTAATTCATTACACCACCAGTAACGGAACCAGACAAATCGCGTCCCGTTTTCGTACACGCATTGACAAGGTGTTCGCAGATCACGTTGCCCGAGTAAGTTCCCTGCCCCCTTCAGCTTCGACTCTTGCTTATGCTCACGCTGACAATCACCTCATTACGCAGCGGCGCGACGCTAGACATGGAAAAGGGGCATATTTCACTCACACTCTACTCTGTTGTGGAACAACTCGTGGCAAGGGGGGAGGTTGAACTCATCTAATGTACTTTACTATTATGTACTACAATTCGTGCATGCATGAACGGCTTATTTTCCTGCCTGCTGTGAGTAATAAATATTTGTAATTGGTGTTTCGCACTGACGACTACTGACGAAAGTAAGAGATGAATAGAGATGTTTGATCCATGAATTCATTGAAATTTTCATAAGCAAATCACCGACGTTCGCCCTGATCGACAAGCTTAAACACCAGACGCATGCCCTCATTGCGCAATTCCTTCACGACGAGAGATTGTTCCATCTGTGTGACCAATCTCGGCGAATCAGTAGTAATGAACAGGCTGAACTCTCGAAGTCGCACAGCACCACCATCGGAGGGGAGACCAACATTCCACCTAGCTAGAAACACCTTTTCCAAGGTGTCAACATCAACGCTATTCCCTGAGCCCACATTCCCGGTTTTCATGCTGGTTTGGAATTTGAGTTGACCCCGGTATTTAAAACTTGTCAAATGTGGCAACGGTAAACCACCCGATGTCGTGTTGGGAGTGCTGAAATAGTTAAAAAACCTCCGAGACGGGAGCCAATGCCTTCGAGACCGACCTAACCAGTGGAAGGGTTCGTCAATCTCCAAGCGTGACTTGAGTGTGACAGGTTGGGGAGTGCGTCGAATATCTTCCACAACAACTCTTCCTCCGCTGGGACATAATCGATAATAGACAAGTGCTTCAGAGCCACACTTGAGTGTGTAAGAAAAGTCTTGAAAGCCTCTACTTCGTCACTGCCTATCAGAGGAACGGTGATGGATACAAGTGACGGTGTCACTAGATACCCCACCAGATGTTGCGGTTTTCCAGATAAAATTTCGAGTGATACAAGCTTTGAAAGATGGACAGAGCCACGTGAAGTGTGTGGTGCTACCCACAAATGGTGTGCCCTATAAATTTTAAGATTGGTACATTTGCTGAAGAAGGCTGCTGAGGGCGTGCAACCCCAAAAAGTCAGTTCCTCCAATTGGTGATGCGGAAGCCCCACATTTTCGTCGTCGATCGTTACAGTGCGAAGCTTTGGTGCATCACGAAACGTTGTGGAAAATGGTGGCGATGACTGTGAGAATGAATCCACCCCTTCAGTGTCAATATCCAAGTCAAGTGATTTGAGGTTTGGACAGCGACCCATTCCGGACTCGAAGATCTTGGCCCAGTAAAAGGGGAGGAAAAGATCGAGCAACTCCCACTGATGAAAACGAGAGGTGACAATTGAGGTGACAACTGCTACGGCTGCTAAGCATTCACCCCCTTTTCTTTTCTGAAATTTCCCCTATTTTATTGCCATTTTTCATTTGGAAAAGTGCCCATTTCCTTATTTGGAAGTATGCACTGGACCCTGAAAACAGTGCCCAACAGAAATATCCATTGAAATATCTTAGGTATTCATATGAAAATCACAATGAAATATCCCAGGGATGAGAATGAAATATCCAATGAAATATCCTAGGGTTCACCCAATGAAATATCCCAGGGATGAGGATGAAATATCCATTGAAATCCTCTAGGTATTCATATGAAAATTGCATTGAAATATCCCAGGGATAGGTATGAAATATCCATTGAAAGTGCCCTATGAAATAGCCAGACAATTGAATGAAATGCTCTGCCTATGACTTATGAGAGAAAGACAGGCAATCTAATGAAAGAAATACATAGACACAACAATGAGACATTTCATTGAACCTCTAAGCATTATACACATTCACCTGCAGGCAACTGTCTGGTTTTTATCATAAAAGTGGTAGCCACTAGTGCGTTGTTTGTTCATGGCTATGCGATGGGTGGTATACACTTTTATGATAAAAACCAGACATATGCCTGGAGGGCGATGTGTATGTATAATGCCTAGAGGTTCAATGAGATAGCATATCTCATTGTTCTAGGATATTTCATTGCGATTTTCATATGGATACCTGGTGCTTTCAATATGTATTTCATTCTCAACCCCAGGATATTTCATTGCAATTTTCATATGGACACCTGGTGCTTTCAATATATATTTCATTATCAACCCCAGGATATTTCATTGCAATTTTCATATGGATACCTGGCACTTCAGTCACCCACTGACAACTGACTGTTAGTCTTGCAAACTCCATGAATACTACGGGACTAAATGTCAGGGTGTATATCTATATTGTATATATTCTGGGGCTTGTATATCTCCACTTTTACCTAAATATATTTTGTTGTCCAATGTCACACTAAATATATTTCTAGTGTGTCACACCCCCCAAAATATATTTCCTCACTGGAATGGACTCCAAATATATTTCTTATGCCTGGACCCTGAATTGTGACTGTCACAATGTAGAAATATATTTCTTGTCTGGGATGGACTTGGGATATATTTTGCAGCTAGGGTTGACTAAGGATATATTTCTTCAGCCACAAGGGGTGTCTGGGGTCCTATATTTAAGAGAAAAACTTGGGATTTTTTTTAATATAGGGGATAGGGGATTTACCTATTATTTTATAGGCAGAATACCCTCATTGGGATGTTTGTTGACAGATATTTACCAATAGCTTTGACCCATGTGTAGTATATGCATTGACTAGCATGTTACCCGTGCTTCGCACGGAGTCTGAATATAGGCAAATGAATCTTTGACATTTCATAATCTAAGTTTACAAAAAACGTCCAGGTCATTCCTCTGACACATATATATCGCCTGAGTTCGCGTCAGAGGATTGATCTGCTTCGACGCGTTGGCGCTTCCAAGGAGGGCTAGTGATTGTCACGGGTTTCGCAACCCGTGCGGGTTGCGGGTAAGGGTACATGTGGGTAGGGGTACGGGTTTGATCTTCACTACCCTCGCCAAACCCGTACCCGTGACAGGGGTTGGCGGGTACCCGTAGCAATACCCGTCATATAAATAGTCATTTTTTCTTTGGGCAGATCATGGTCCGTGTCACTAAGTCACACATAAAAATTACAAGCAATATTTCCAAGTTGTTTTAAAAATATATAACGAAGGTTTTCGTCCTAAGTTTATTCATTAAGTCATTGTTTGTTTGCCTCGAGGTCTCGCATTAAGGTCAAAAATATGTAGATTATCACCAAGACATGCGTATAACATACAAAAAAAGTCTCTAAGGTATTTATAATATATCTACGGTATAGGTAATTTATCGCCGACTGTCTCGGGCAGTGACTACCAGTTGATTCGTGGCGATTTTGACATCAACCTTCCTCAAAAGCGTTGTTGATTTCGTTTTGTAAGGACGAATCAATGTTATTCGTGTATTTGAGAGCAAGTACAGTGTATCACGCCGAAACTAAGTAATACAAAAGTACGTATGATTATATCTACGGCACACCTACAGTAAATACGAGGAGGGGGGTGTACATTAATACTATACTACATTACTCTATAAACGTGGAGGGAAGAGGGAGTGGAGAAGGAAAGAAAAGAAAGACGTACGACGCTCAAGCGCTATATATCCAGGCCACTTTAGGGCGAGTTTGGGTTTAGGGCCGGCATAGAACGTTGAGGGCAGGCGTGGAAGAACGTTCTGT